TGGAAAAAAAAAAAAAAAAAAAAAAGAGAGAGAGAGAGAAGGATTTCACCTTAATGTTTCTACCTCCCTGTGGACTGTCTGCTAGTTTTGCACAGGGAAGTGGGGTATTGCCTTTTCAAAGAACCTGACATCAAACCGGGTTTGATATCAGTTAACCCCAATCCAAGAGAAGCTCCCTCGCCCTGAGCCCTGAAGATGGAGGGGAAATTCAGAAGTGGGAAAGGAAGGCAGCCAGGAGCTCACTTTGGTCTCCTGCTCTGGAAGGGATGACCAGATGTGCTGGCCATCATGGGGGACTTTAAAGAGCAGGTGCTCACTGAAGACACACAAGGCAGAGCAGCCACCAATGAGTGGGGTCTCTGCATAGTCAAGAGGGTGGACTGGCAAGGAGACAGATTTATGTGCAATCTTAAATTCCCATGATTTCATCATGGCAGCAGGGACACTAAGTTTTGAGCCCTGGAGCTGCAGTGGGGCCAACAAGGGTGGGGAAGAAGAGAATCTTAGGCAGAAGCCAGGCACTGATTGCCTAGGCTGAGTCTGTCCTGGGAACTCGTGGTGTAGCCAATGTACAAGATTGACTTACAATGGCCACCCACAGAGTTGGAGGAGGAAGAGTGCAGAGGGTCTGCCTGCTCACTGGAGATCAAAAGATATAGTCAAAGGTCTGGAGCTCACTGCAGGGTCCTCTATGAGTGGGCACCAGGATGCCGATGGGTCTGCAACGGAAGGCTGAAGTGTCCACACAGGAAGTCAAAGGGTCCGTGCTGGAATCTGAGAGATGATGTCCAAGATGAAGGCCATGACTGGAGCTCCTCTGAAGAAACAAGAACAGATATCCTTCTTTGTTTCCCCTTTATACCATCCAGTCCATCAGCTGCCTACACCCCCCGGGATGTGCAGTTGCTGAGCCAATTTAGCTAAGCTTCTCTTAACCATACTTCTCAAGTTGACACACTCAATCAACCATCACATAGAGAGATCAGACTCAGTTACACTGAGAAAAGTCTAGAAGGGATAATGGTAAACATGTCAGCGAGCAGCTGGGTACACAGCAGGATGAGGGAGGATGGTCGACAACAGGCTCAAGTCAGAACTGGGCACTGCCTTGGGAGATGTGCAGTGTAGACCACATATGTACCACGTAGATCCCAACTCTCACAGGCCCAGGGAAGAGCAGGGCTGGGGCTGGGGCAGGAGCAGAGACACAGCCCCAAATTGCAATACAAGATTTAACAATTTAACAATTTTTTCTACCAGTTAGGATGGACAAATGTAGTATTTTTCCTTAAATACTTAGCAAATTGGGATAAGGAAGAGTAAAATAATAGCAGTGAAATAGAAGAGGAGCACTTTTTTTGTGTATTGAAGTTTAATTCTGCCGTGTCACTGAGCTGTTAGAGTTGCCACAGTGCATCTACTGTTTGCAAGCTCACTACAACTTTGTGACTAGAATGGTGGTCTTGTTGAAGGGTGTGCCTGTTATATTGTTTATTTTTGGCTTGATGTCAGGTGGACAGTAGGCATTCGATAAGTATGGTGAATAGTGAGTGTGTTCTTCTACTGTTTAGCATATTCAAATTTTAATAGCAAAGTGTGAACGGTTTCACACTTGGCTTGGGGTTGTCTCTCCTCCCCCCCTCTATCTTCCGTTCTCAGAGTCTGTGTGTCAGTCCTCCCCTAACTAACTTCAAATCAGCGGAAGGAGTCAGCATCTCAATGAGGGTAATAAAAAGATCAGATAGCAGTGTTACCTGCCATGTCCTCCACAAACGTCTGCTCATTAACTGGGTCTAATTCTTGGAAACAGGAGGTCATTCCTTCAGTGGGTCGAGCCTATGGGAGCAGCTGGGAGGGATCTCAGGTTGAGAGATCCTTCAAATTACACACCATTGGCTCTGGGTTATGCTGCTTAGGTGAATGCTCTTGCTTCAATACTGAGCTTTGCTATTATAATAACAAGCCAGTAAGGCCTAGATATTCATGGGGAACAAGACAACACACCATCTTTGTCCCCATGGAAGGAAAGAATATCTAATCTTGTAGTTTAAATTTCTACCCCCAAATGAGCTTTTTAGTTTTATCCTTTCTTTAAGTCCAATTTTATTGCTTCCTCCTTGTGAATGAAAGATCACACAGGCATGGGTTTCTGAAGGTTACCTATAGCTTTGCCTAAAATGGTTATAATTGGAGAAATGAAATAGTGCTAACTGTAAAGCCTGAATAACATTATAACATTATGCAAAATGAAGGCACTTTAGAAGAATAAAGGAATGATGACAATGCAAATCAGAGCCAGTGAAGGTCAGACGTTTTGCATAAAGTGCCTTGCAGTCTAATTCATGTGAGTTTTGCCTGAGGAGAGAAAAGTGACTTATTAAAGCACAATGCTTTTTCAAAGAGCTTTACTGGGGAGCCTGGATCTGCTTACAAGTCCCACAGGCAGCCACAAGGATTCTGTGAGGAGCTGGGTAGGGGCAGAGCCAAGCTGAAATTATAGAACCTTTGTTCAGAAATAAAATCCCCAGCCCATGACTGCACTCAAACTGGCTTTCTTAACCCTTGGATGGCCAATCAGAATGGGAAACAGGTGCAGTTATCTATAGGCTGCCATGTTTATTATGCTTTTATTCAGAAAGCCAATTG